GCTGAACTTCCTAGGAATTTGCTGAAGGTGAAGGCTGCAACTGACTCGCTGCAGTGAGCTTCATTTGTCCCAAATGAGGTCAGTCCCGTCTCAGTAAGAGTGGCTGGGTAGTGTAGCAGACAAGATGGAGGTCTTTCAGAGGTAATTAGAAATTGCAGGGGAAGGGAAGAGATGGATGCTGAATAGACTTGGGGGGGGGGGGGAGGCTTGACCAAAGGCAATTTTCTCGGAACCCTGGGGAGGCAGCTTTATTGTTACTCACAAAAAGTTTTATTTTCTAGCGATGGTTACTGACCTTCAACTGAAGTGCTAGAAATTTGCTTAAAGCCTCGCCGTCCCTGTTGTTGCAGACATGACATTTCTGTAAGAAGAAAGGAGCCACCGTTGGGTGTGAGAAGCCACGCTGTCCCAGGAGTTACCATTATTTCTGTGCGCTGAAGGACAACGCTGCAAACGATGAAAAGCCAGGCTCTTATAGGTACTGAACTAAACTCTTTTTGTGAATTCTGTCCCACCTTGGGTATTTTATCTTGGGTGGCCTCTTCCATTTGTTTGTGGGTTGGGACCATCCCTTCTGGTGCATGATAATAATGCTTTCTGGTAAGAGGAATCTGTTCAATGGCTAGGCAATATCAGTAAATGTGGGAATGAAAAACTCTTGTGAGGCATGCCCGGGAGTTCAAGTTCTCACAGGGAGATTGGCAAGCAGTGCACAAAGTCTGCTGAGTCTGCTGGTCTGCTGAGAGTATAAACTTGGCTACATTCGGGCAAGATAGGAGAGCTTCAGTGTAAAGAACATTCTGTTTAGAACATACTGTAATCCTAGTTAGAGGCTTCTATTCGTAACGTTTTCACTGTACAGGGCAGGGGGGGGGAGAAATATGTGAGTCTGCTTTAATAAAACGCTGCTGACATCCAGTTCAGGAGAGACAGAGAGGTACAGAGAGAGCTTGAGAACTTGGTCAGAGAACTTCGGCAGATCTGTGTGTTGTGTTGTTTATTTGAACCTCATACCTACAAGCTCCCATCTCTAGTTCCAGCTCCTGCCAACCTAGCAGTTCGAAAGCAAGAAATTGCAAGTAGATAAATAGGTACCACTTCGGTGGGAAGGTAACAGCGTTCCGTGCGCCTTGGTGTTTAGTCATGCCGGCCACATGACCACGGAAATGTCTTCGGACAGCGCTGGCTCTTTGGCTTTGAAACGGAGATGAGCACCGCAACCGTAGAGTCGGATTTGACTGGCTTTCGAGCAAGGGAACCTTTACCTTTACCTTACCTACAAGTGAATCCAAACAATCCCGCAGTGTCATGAAACGGAGCCAGTCACCAGCAGTGTAAGTCTTTGATATCTCCTGAACTGAGGCTGACTAAGCCCAGGGCCCTGATCTGGATAGATCTCAGAACCTAAGGAGGGCCAGCCCTGGTTAGTCTTTGGAAAGGAGACCAGCAGAGAGGCAGGCAGTGGCAAACCCCCCGTGAATGTCTTGCCTTGAACCCATACGGAGTCAGCAAAATCATTTATTATTTATTTATTATTCAGATTTCTCTCCCGCCCTCCCCAACGGGCTCAGGGCGGCTAACAATAAGGGCACAAAGCCATAATAAAACAGTTAAAAGCAGGATAAAACAATACACAATTACAATGAAGTGCTGGTGCTCTGAAAGATCATAGTTCCAAGATGGGTTCTGGAAGATGGACCCAGAACAACGAAGCAAGTTCCAGGACCAACACTGCCCTCCGATCTTCGGCCCAAGGCCATCATGCACCCCGATGGCAGCCCGCACTTTGCGGTAGCGGCGCAGTGGTGGTACAATGGCGGCGGCGGCTCCTCCTCAATATATTGCATCCATATATCTTACCTTGTTTATCGGTTAACGTTTAAAACGTTAGACTGATTCTTCTATGATGTACAAGGTGCTTTGATGTGATTTGATCCTTATCGCTTGTTGCTGCTTGTTTTGTTTCAAAGGTTTATTGCTGTAAATGTTTATTCAAATAACACATTTAAAATTAAAAACAACAACAACATATGGAGTCACCATATGCTGGGGGTTGAATTTGGGACCTTCTGTATACAAACCGGGCGCTCGACCACTGAACCGCAGCCCCTGTAGCAAGCAGAGGTTTTCCGTTGCTATTCACATTTTCAGTCAAGGTCTGAGGCAGACCTTTTGCAATGTGGTGGCCAAATAAGAGCGAAGTATCTTAACACTCTTAAGCCGAGGAAAGTTTCTGAGCATATATTTTACTGGGCCGTTTTTGTCCCTTATTCTCTGGGACCAGCGTGGAAACAACTTAGCCACCACAACGGCTTATGCGAGTCCTGAGCTGGAGGGGCCAGTAGAGAACCAGGGAATGGTCATCAAGGTCTTGGGTGACAAACTGAGCACCGATGATGATTTTGGAAACGACCCTTTTGAAACGAGCGGGATGTGCTTCTAAGCAGACATGGCTAGGGGATCAAGGCCCGGAGCGCTCAGTGCCCCAAGCCTCAAAAAAGTGATTCTGGGAGAGGACGGCAGAAGGCACAGTGGACTCCAGAGACAGGTTGAAAGCCTGCTGCTGAGATGGTTAGCTAAAGGAGAAGGGGGAATGTTGTAGCCGTTAGTCATTGTTGTGCACAGGGGTCATTTCGTAGAAAAAGAGGTGCAGGAGCTCATTAGCATAACTCATTAGCATAACTTATTTGCATATGCCACGCACACACACCCCTGACATCACCGGAAGTGTGTCAGAAGACAACACCCACCGCTCAGGCTCCACTGGACTGTTTTGGATTGCTAGCTATTGGGGGGGGGGGAACGTGCAGATCTGTCCTCGCAGAGGAGGGAGAGCTTGTACCTGAATAAAACTTGGTCTTACAGGTGCCACTGGACTGTTTTGGACCAGGGGGCTGGGGGGGGGCTCTGCAACTTACCTGGCTGCTTCTTGCTCTGACTGAGGGCTGCTGGGAGCAGGGGGTGGGGCTTGTTGCATGTGCCCGCCCCCTGGGCTCTTTACTGCCAGAGCTCCGCTCCTGTGTGCTCCTGCAGGAAATGACCCCTGGTCATGCAATGTCATAGTTTATTTACATTTGCCAAACTAAAGTGGGGTTTTTTTTTTAAAAAAAATGCTTTTCTCTTTCAGAAAGAATAGAATGAAGTCTTGCTAGAGTTGTCAAACATCTTGTATTTCCATTGCTGAATTCCTTTTTCACATTGCCCTTAAAGCAAACGGGGGAGGGGGAGGGGCACTGTATTTGGTTCCTCCCAAGCCAAATCCTCTTTCTACTGAGATAATATTGTCTGTATATTTGTTTCACTAATCAGTGAGTACTGCTGTATTAATCTCATGTATTTTATCTTTAACATTTTCCCAATGTTTTTAGAGTGTACTGTCGAAACCATGACCCAACTAGAAGGACCAGTCTTAAAGGTGAGTTTCATTGTATGGCTGTCAACTGTTAGCATTGGGCAGCCATTGATTTGAAGCACAACAGACGAGAACATCTTGGGAGAAAATAGGCCTAATCATAACTACTTCCTAACTAGTGGGATGGCTAGCATTTCCGTAACGTCCCTAGGCATAGTTTTTGTTGTTGTTGTTCAGTTGCACAGCCGAGTCCGACTCTTCGCGACCCCATGGACCAGATCATGCCAGGCCTTCCTGTCTTCCGCCGTCCTCTGAAGTTTGCTCAATTTCATGTTCGTTGCATCTATGACACTGTCTAACCATCTCATCCTTTGCTGTCCCCGTCTTCTTTGACCTTCAATCTTTCCCAGCATCAGGGTCTTCTCCAGTGAGTGCTCCCTTCTCATTTGGTGGCCAAAGTATTTGAGCTTCAGCTTCTGTATCAGGCCTTCCAGGGAACAGTCAGGGTTGATTTCTTTTAGGATTGACTGATCTGATCTCCTTGCAGTCCAAGGGATTCTCAAAAGTCTTCTCCAGCACCATACTTCAAAAGAATCTATTCCTCGGCACTCGGCCTTCCTTATAGTCCAACTCTTGCAGCCATACATGACTACTGGGAATACCAATGCTTTGATCATGCGGACCTTTGTTGGCAGGGTTAGTTCGATTGAATTTTGGTACCGTGTGATGCCTTAACTAGGGGTGTGTGATTGAATACTGCCAACCCGATAAAATGCCCAATATTTCTGGGATCTGATTGGCAGTATCTGATAGTAAATAAAGTTGACAGTAAATAAAGGTCCTCGGCAGTTTAAAGGGCTCCTGTGCCACAGACGACTGGGGCAAGCCTCTGGAAGCCCGATCTGCCCGCCCTTCTTTTTTTGTTTTGTTTTTGACAGCGTTGTTACCGGAGAGGGTTAAGCCCTCCTGAAAAGTCAGAAAGCTAAAGCAGGGCAGCTATCCGCTGTGTTTTTATGATATATCTCATGCTTACTTGCTGAAGTATTACAAAAGCGTGGCCTTTTATACTAAGAATCAAGCCTGCGTCTGCCCGTTTCACCGCCACGGAGCTCAGCGTGGTGTTGCGTGGTTCCGCTCTCCCCCATTTTACCCTCACAACAACCCTGTGAGGCAGGTAAAGGTAAAGGTTCCCTTGCTCGAAAGCCAGTCGAATCCGACTCTAGGGTTGCGGTGCTTATCTCCGTTTCCAAGCCGGAGAGCCAGCGCTGTCCGAAGACGTTTCCGTGGTCATGTGGCCGGCATGACTAAACACCAAGGCGCACGGAACGCTGTTACCTTCACACCGAAGTGGTACCTATTTATCTACTTGCAATTTTTTGCTTTCGAACTGCTAGGCTGGCAGGAGCTGGAACTAGAGACGGGAGCTCACTCCATCATGCGGCACCCGGGTCTCAAACTGCTGAACTACTGACCTCCCACAGCCTGCAGTTCAGCGTCCTAACCACTTGAGCCACCAAGCGTGGAGAACAGAGTCCTGGGGGAAAGGGGGTGGAGCTTTGTAGGCAGTTTGTGTGCTGTGGCTGGTTGTGCCAACTTGGGGGCAGGGGACAACGACGGACCTGGCCGATGGCATCCTCAGCTCTCTCTCAGGGACAGTGAGTCTTAAGCTGCTGTCTTGTTGAAACTCCAACAACCCATAAAGCACCAGAGGAGACAGGAAAAGTTTGTTCTGAATTCCCTCATCAGCCTTGTGGAGAAATGCAAGGTCCATTGGCAGAAGTCTGGCAGAACTGTGCAGTAGGGGGGGAAAGCCTCTGCCCCTTGAAAGGAAGCGTTCCTGGCCTTGACCAGGGTTCCCCTTTGCCTCTTCCGGTCTCCTTTGCTCAACACTGGATTCCACACATCTTCCTGGGAAATAAATCGTGGCTTAGTAATAGGCTTTACAACAGCAGTAAAGGATGGAGCTGGGAACGCGATTCCGAGGGTGCATTTCTTTCTGTTCCTAGCCAGGGTGGAGTTTTTGAGGAAATGCAAGCGGGCCGGGCTTCTCGATGGGATCTTTAAGGAGATGGCGGAAACACTTCACCTGACCCAGGAAAAGCTGAAGGAAAAGCTGGATGATGACAGCACTCCAAAAGCAGGTACCGCAAACAGGGCCACTTTTGCCTCCAGGTCTCCTGTTTAGCACTGAGCAAATCCTGCAGTCCCGGGCTCCTCTTACCCTGCAGGGGCGGAATACGGATCTTCTATGAAACCCAAGCACGAGCAAAGAGTGAAAGCATGACATCTAGGTTTCAGATCTCTTTTCTGACAAATCTCTTCATGGGATTGGTTTGGCAGAAGAAGTTATTGTTTTTGGACATACTTTAATAGGGGAGGGTGTGTGTGAGGGAGAGTTGTTAAAATGCTTTCAAGGAATCTGAATGCCTGACGAAAGATGTGTCTGACTGAGAGGCCTCTCTGGAACATCTTTGGTGCTTGAGGGAGACCCACCAGAGGCTGGTGCCAAAATGTAGTGACCTGCAGCCACAGGGAATGTGTGTTCCCTTTAACTGCATTCCCAAATCTGTCGGCTTGAGACGGGCGGCCTCGCCCTGCCAGCCGTGCTGCTCTTAGTCCAGTCAGAAGTGAAACCCACTCATGTTATTGGCCTGTCCTTTAGGCCAGTCCAGACGGGCAGCCCCCGACCCCTCTTCTGGTACAACAAACTGCCACCGTTGGTGTCCAGTGAGTCAGCCGAAAAAGGTTTCTGTGAAGGGTCTGGGTGTTGTGCGGCAACATCAGCCTTTTCTCTTTTCATTTTGCCCAGGCAGGAGATGCGTATAAATTCTCCCATACTGCTGGAATATTTCTTGTGTGGTGAAGCTTTGGGGGACTTGATGTCATTGCTACTCCCTTTATAGTAACTCTCCTAAAAAGCATAACAATTGAACATGTGAGTTTTGGACTGAAGCTAATGCTTATTAATCCCTGGTCTAAGTTTCGTTCCCAGTCTGGGTTAAAATGGAACACACCTCACTCATGCAAATTCATATAGTTCTCGTTAAAGTCTATGTCAAAACAATACTTCTCTCTGAGACTCGTACCAGAAAACCATTCTTTCCTAGAATGGTGATCCTTCTGATAAATGTAAAGGAATAGTGTGGCATCTGGGTGTGTTTTAAAAAAATCTGTGGTATGTTAAGAGAACAGGTGCTTTTTTTTAATCCTCAGAATACGAAAAGACGGTAATATCCCTTTTTGACTGCAGTCTGTTTGAAAATGCTGCTACAGGGGGCAAGCAGAGAGGCCGGGTGGCCCTTGAATGGCTGTGCTAATCCTAAGGCACAGGGGAGCCCTCGGCTGTAGCACTCGGTGGCACAACTCAGGTGACTGATACTGGTGAAGGGGGGACTAGAATTTGTGAAGCCCAAACACTGGCCTCTTTCCCCCCAGCACCTGCTGAGTGTTAACATGTTCCTTCCGAGGGCTGGAAACAGGAGCGCTCTTGCTTTACGGCTGCCTGCAGGTCTTTTGTTTCTCTGTGTCATTATTACCATGAAAGGTTTGAATCCTGAAAAATCCCAGTGTCACCATTTGTGGCTTGTTAATGTGACTAGGAAGGCTTCAGGCCGTCAGGCAGATGACGGATCGTCTGCAAATGTACTGCATTTGTTAACAAGCAGTCTTTTTCATTTCTACAGGAACAGAGGAAAAAATTCAGGAACTCCTGGAAACACGGAAGAAATTGGATACCGAGATGGCAGCGGTGGATACCCAGATAGAGCTTCTACAAGGTCTGAAAGCAGGCCTGCCTGCCTCAGAAAATGCATCCAGCAGTACCTCTGAATAAGCGACATCTTTTTGCAGTACAGCTCCCATGTCTCGTGTCGATTTCAAAATACGCGGATGACCATTTACTGGCTGGCTTTTCATACCTCTTTTGTGATAACTGTTAGCAGTGGAGGACATGGCGCTGTCTCCGGTCTCACACTTGAGAGATGGCACCAAAGAGTAGACAGACAGAGACGTCAGGACACACAGAGCCTCCTGTCCTTCCTGCTATCTGATCCTTTCCTTTGAAGTAGAATGCTACTCTTAGGGGCAAGTTTCCTCTGCTTCCGCTCTCTCACTTTTTCTCTCCCGCACGGACACAAAGAAAAGGTGCATGATCTCTCCATCTTGCACCATGGAGGCTGGACATGCGTCCAGCATCTAACACCAACTAGTTAGTTAGGGTAAAGGTAAAGGTTCCCTTGCTCGAAAGCCAGTCGAATCCGACTCTAGGGTTGCGGTGCTCATCTCCGTTTCAAAGCCGAAGAGCCAGCGCTGTCTGAAGACGTTTCCGTGGTCATGTGGCCGGCATGACTAAACACAAAGGCGCACGGAACGCTGTTACCTTCCCACTGAAGTGGTACCTAATTATCTACTTGCAATGTCTTGCTTTCGAACTGCTAGGTTGTCAGGAGCTGGAACTAGAGATGGGAGCTCACTCCATCATGCGGCACCCGGGTCTCGAACTGCTGAACTACTGACCTTCCACAGCCTGCAGTTCAGTGTCTTAACCACTTGAGCCACCGCAGCTCCTAGTTAGTTAGGGTAGGTAATCTGTATCTGTCTTTTACCTGCACTCTCAAGCATGTATTGCCTGTAATAAAAGTTGCTTATTAGTTTTAGAACTGACTGCTGACTCCGTGTAGCTTTGTAAGTCTGTCGCCACACCTAGCCCCAGCTCTGCTACGTTAAAGCCTTGAGCACTCGGCTACTTTCTGTGGTTCACTGGCTGTACCAAGTCCAGAGAACCCAACAATAACTGCCCTTTCCTGTGACTTGGGAGAGAGAGGTTTTTGCTGAAAAGCAAAAAATCATTTTGCATGTTCTGCTCTCCCCAGCATCATGAGGACTGCTTCTTCCTTCCATCTACGCCCAAACTGGCTGTCTGCTCAGTTTTATCACAGGCTGTCTTCTGGCCACTTGTAGAAGATAGCAGGCAAAGCCGGGACCACACAGCGTGGCAAGATTACAAGTAACAAAGGAACAGCATGTACAATATTTACTGCTTACTGATAATTAGAATTTACTACCATATAGCATATGAAATTCCAACAATATAACGTTACAGTAATGCAAAAGTATAAGTCTCCAATTGTTGACAAATATAAAGGTTCAAATGGAAGGAACAATAAATGGTTAACACCTATTTGAAAGCTTGTAAAAGTAGCCCAAATGTTTTTTTGGGGGGAGTAGCTCCCAATATTTAACCATGGACAGTGTAGTCCAGTTACAGTGCAGTGTAGTCCAATTACAGTGTAGTCCAATTACAATCAGCGACCAACATGTGTCCAGGTTTTCTGCATGTTTTAGTAGCCTTCTTCCAGGTCATGATTTATCAGTGGAACCAATGCTCAAGAGTAAATATTTTGATAAGCAGCACAAAACACTTGTCTGTTCTCTCATTTGGCAAATAGGTTCTCAGTAAATATTGTAACCGTTGTAGAAGATGGCAGTGACCAGTCACTTGGACCCTTGAGGTTCTTCACTAATGGGGCCCCACCCTCCACCTCTAGCTTGCAATGGAGACTCTGGCAAAATGGTTGCACTGTGGTGACTTCCTGGTACTTCCCTACATTTCCTCCCTGTCCGCCCCTCAGGACCCATAAACAGGATTTAAGAGAGATGACTCATATCAGGTCTTGACACTTTCTACATGCGGTTTTATAGAATAAAACATGTCAAAGTTGACGTGGTTGTAACTGTGATAAAGGGCAGGACATTGGTTGGCTATGGATCCCAGCAGTGCCTTGTCCTGTGAAAATGTGCCAAGGAAACATTCAGGTCCTGCTGGTTCACCCTCTAGGCTAACAGCTTTGTTCAGTCCTGAGTAGTGTTGTATGCACAGTTTATATGTGACACTGTTATGCACTCAGCACTGTCTGCCTTAGTAGACTAACTTTAGTGGACTCAGCACCTATGCTATACACAGACATACAGATATGTTAAGTGCCATTGATGATTCTAATTACAGAGATAGAAATCAATTATGAATATATATCTTCAGGTATTCACTTTGGTTCAATGCTTAAATGCATTCTGAGAAAAATACTAAATGCTGACAGGCAGTAACTGATTGCTTATGACCTTGCTCGTGATGGCTATATCTTGTGGCTAATAGCCACTGATGGACCTCTGCTCCATATGTTTATCCAATTCCCTCTTGAAGCCGTCGATGCTTGTAGCTGCCGCCACCTCCTGTGGCAGTGAATTCCATGCGTTAATCACTCTTTGGGTGAAGTACCGCACATGTTTCTGATGTCGGCTCACTTGTGTTAGATGGAGAACATACTGCATGATGTACCCATATCTGTTACATTAGATACTTTTTGGAACTTCACAGCCTGAGAAGAAGAAGGCCTATTGTTTAGCTGTAGGAGGTACATTTTTGCCTGTGAAAATCCAACCCACAGGTTCGGGCCCAATCAGAATGGTGTGATGGATATATGACAAAGTTTGATGGAACCAATAATTCTGATTTATTTGCAAAGCGTCATAGTGGGTTTAAAACCCTATGTCTCCTATTGTAACCTTAGGGAAGAGCTGTGGGTATTCGAGGATTCAAAACCTTGTTGTACCTGTATTTTTCCTCCTTTATTAATAAAGTTTTTAGCCTGGATTCTACTGTACAGGACTGCTGAGTGCTTTCTCAAATTGGGCTGGGGAGGCACAACCCGTGACGGAGTTTCTGTCTTACAGTAGGGCTGGAAGGGGGTGCCATTTGAGGGAAAATGGCGTCGCCCCGCCCCCAGCATGTGACATCACTTCCGGGTGACGCACGCAGGGCGTGCGCACACAAAGAGGACGCCGGCCGGGAGCCCCCCGCTCCCGGCAAAAAGTAAGTTGGCAACCCTAGGGAAGTTATGGAAAGAAAAATGAGCTTCAGCAAGGAAGAGAGAGCTTATCTGAACCTGGTCAGCTGGATCGGCTGGAGTTGTTTACCAGAGCCCTCTCTTTTGGGGCATGGGGGTGTGAGAGGAAGCTGAGAGACATGGCGGCGAAGGTAGTAGTATTTATCCTTGAGTTTTTAAAGACCGCCTTTTATATTAATGATCTTTTATTAAGCATTTTGCAATTGTATAACTAAGCAATGCATCAGTATTCAAACAGTTCTGAGTATAATAATCTTTAAGACACCAGTGCCCACTCTTGTAAACTTCTGGTTTTCCAGGCTGTGGAGAAATGCTATCTTGTGTGTAGGTTTAACTTTGTGTGGGCTGGATGGGAGGAGACTATCAAACTTTAGGTAGGCCTCGGCCTAGCCTCCTCCTAATCCCCCCCCCCTTCCTGTCTCCAATCAGTAATCTGAGGGCAACTCCAGACAGAGGACAGGAAATCCATCAAGGTTATCAGGAGATCTGCCCCAGAAAGCTGCAGGAGGGGAGAGCCAGTTCCTGGGTGGGAACTGCTGTTCATATTATCGACTTTTGGGGTGGGAAGCCTGTTAGTCGGTTGGTTGGTTGGAGCTTGCAAGAGACAAAGAGGCAGGAACAGCCCTGTCCCCAGGCCAGAGAAGGGGGCCATTTTTGACAGAGGCCATTTTTTTGGGGGGGGGGAGATATTTGTCCAGCTTACTCCAGAGTAACAAAGTAATGTACTTGCCCTGCATACCACCTAGATAGGGCATGAGTTTAGAGGTGGGAGATGAAGCATTCTGTCAACATTATTTTATGTCTTCGGTTCACTTCTGATGTGCCTATATATATAGTTGTGAGTTTTAAATAAATAAGAACGTAACATGCCAATGTTGGATCAGGCCAATGGCCCATCCAGTCCAACACTTTGTCACACAGTGGCCAAAAATACTGGGTGCCATCAGGAGGTCCACCAGTGGGGCCAGGACACTAGAAGCCCTCCCACTGTTGCCCCCCCCCCAAGCACCAAGAAGACAGAGCATCACTTGCCCCAGATCAAGAGTTCCTATCTATACCTTGTGGCTAATAGCCACTGATGGACCTCTGCTCTATATGTTTATCCAATTCCCTCTTGAAGCCGTCCGTGCTTGTAGCTGCCGCCACCTCCTGTGGCAGTGAATTCCATGCGTGAATCACTCTTTGGGTGAAGAAGTACTTCCTTTGATTGTTGAAGGAATGAAGTCCGTCTGTACGACGTAGTTCCCCCAGCTACTTGGAAACACTAGGAGTGGGTCAGGGAA